ATATATATATATATAGATCGTACAGATGGACAAAACCACAATTTCTCACCTTAGCTCGAGTCTCCAAATTGCTAAGCTGAGTAACGAAGATATGCCCTGCCATGTCGCCGGTTGCCAAAAGAGTTTGAGCGTTGTTAAAAACAACATTTGTCACAGAATCTTGGTGATCGATCTTCAAAACTGGGTCCGAATCTAGAAATCTTATTAAAAGGAAAAATTAATCGCAAAGAGGGGAGCAAGAAACCTCACCAGAAACTTGATAATCCCATAAATATGCGACATCATCCTCCCCACCAGATGCTAGCCAGCGCTCATCAGCAATAGCAATTGAAAAACAATCTTGTTCGTGTGCTTGCAAAGCACACGACGAGTCGTCAACAACCTCGCTAGCGTTCACATCATAAGCGCTATAAACAAAAGTAACTTTATTAATCGCAAGGATTACTAGATACGAACCAGATAATAAACTGATGCATCTAAAAAAATTCATTAACAGCCAGTGGCGATAGTAATCGTAATAGGTTAGTTTTGTATACATGATCTAAGACAGATGAAGATTGACAGATTTGAGAGACAGTACTTCTTGGACAAATACATAACGGCTTATTACTAAAAAACCTTCAAAATTATAGATTCACTTATTGTAAATCCGGATCATCAAACCGAACGGATAATTCTTCCAATACCACATATGTGAGAATTTGTTCTTCAATTCTTTAAACAATTGCTAAAGTTTATAATAATATTTCTGCAACTGCGAAGCAAGAGACAAAAAATTCACAATAGCAAGAGATACTCAAGTTCGAAATGCGGGAGATGATTTTACAGAAGAAAAATTTCTTCAAATCCTCATGGTTTCGCTTTGTTTACAGACTGTGTTTTGATGGAGCTTCATGAAGGTCGGCAGAATAACAATCTATGGCTTTGAGTTCGCAACAGCAGCTTTGGGTAGTTTTGTTCTAGGAGTTGCCATAAAGAAGTACAGCTGGTCATGAATATCATGGGAAATATCAGAGTTCTTTCTATAAGCACTTATCACCTAAAAGGATAGGACTGTGGAAGACTGACTGAATATTTCTGTGCTAACGGTGAAATGCTGAAGAAATGGCCCAAATCAAAAGTGTTGCTTTAGGCAGTATATAGATTTTCGATGAAATTTTCGTCAGCTTTACAGTGTTTCTGAAAACCAGCAGCAAAAAGTTGGGAAAAAAATTGAACGCACATGGTCCTAAGTCGATGGGAGTAGGCCTGCCAAAACACCACTGCCCTTGGAACTTGCTTTAAAAAACAAATAAAAATTCTCTACAATTAAACCGCCTAGACTGCTGCCTGTGGACTACAATATGTGCTCTTAGTGGTGCAACGTTATCTCCTTATTAGAACAATTCTAAGGAGATAAATCTGCGTCTGGAAAAGATATTCATTCATTAAACCATAAGGAACAAAACTTGAAAAAAAAATTTGCCACACTTTCCGGTAATCTGATTTGACTCGCTCCTTTATAAGCAGTATTCTAAAAAGTATGTTCTTACAGCAACTCTGTGAGAATGGACTCTCAAGACTGTCATCTCACATAGCGCTTTTTTCGGAAAAGTAAGGCTCCTCGTCACATATGCTGCATACAAAAAAAAGAAGAGCATCTTGATTCCTTCGTTCATTTGACCAAATATAGAAAAATGGGCTTTTAGGAAAGTCTCATAGTTGCAAAAGCAAGAATTTCTAGAGAAACCATTGCAAATTCGTGATGCATGTGCCCCATCTTACACTTCAATGATCTAATGCTCATG